CAGGGGCCCAGCAGTGGGCCTGGAAGGTATTTGGGGAGCGCGGGTTTGGACATGGGCTGTGCTCCCACTGTAACGTCATCTCTGTGACTGGACCCCTTCCTGGTCTGGCCCTGCCCTGTGTTGCGGCCTAGTGCCTTTGCCTGTGGCTCTTCCCATAAGCAGAAGGCCTAACAGCTACCAGCATGCAGCCAGCTCAGGCCCCTCCCTCTGCGGTTCCACAGTTCCCCGTCTCTCTCTGTCCAGGGCTAGGAGTATGGCTTGCCTTTCGGTTCTAGCGTTTTCTCAGCAGGACGGCATTTTGTCTGAGGGTTGGGGGGTGGTGAGCCGGCACCGTGCACCCTTCCCACCTCTGCCACCTGCGCACCAGATGTTGTAGGAGGCCCCTGCCATTGAGATGCTCAAAGTCCCCACGTGTATTTCTGAAATCCCCTACCACTGCCTGACTAGTTCTTCCCATTCTGCAGTTTCTTAAATAAGATTTTTAAAAAGAAATAAAATAACAAAGAAAATAAAATTAATTTATTCTGTAGGGTGTGTAACCCACTACTGATCAGTTTAAGTGCTCACTGAATAGTTGCAGGAACAGGCATAGTTGTCACTATGCCTACTTTTAACCTGATAAGTCGGAGAGTTCATATGCTCAGCTCTCAGCGCAGGATCACATTTCCAGAAACACAAACTGGCAACCAAAGCAGTGGAATGCAGTGAATTTACCAGCTCCAAACTTACCAGCCTGACTCTGCTTCCCCAGTCCTGCTTCTCCTTTGTCCTCCTTTTCATGAGAGTGGCCCAGGGCTCCATCACCTCCCCACAGAGGCTGTTTCCCCTGCCGTGACCCCTTACTGTGACCCCTTACTGTTCGTTCCTACCAACAGCAGCTAAGCCTCTCATCCAGAAGGAATGACTCCTCTAAACAGAGCCAGGAGGAGAAAAATTGTCTTAAGTAGGCAAGGGAAGGAAAGGAAACCCCCACTGACTCCCTCCCTCAGCTACATTCAGTTACTTTTGTTCCACGTAACTATATTTTAAAGAAGCACTTACATTTAAGCCAGTCAGGGTGGTATATACATGTAATCCTGAACTCTGGGAGGCTGAGGCAGGATGATAACAAATTTGAGCCCAGCCTGCGCAATTTTGGGACTTAGTGAGACACTGCCTCGAAATTTAAAAAAGGGTTGGGGGAATAGCTCAGGGTGGACACCCTGGGTTTAATCCCCAGTGTCACCCCCCCCCAATCAACTTTCATTTGAAAGACATTTAAGGGCCGGGGATTTAGCTCAGTGTTTCTGCTGCCTGCCTCACAAACATAATGTCCTGAGTTCAATCCCCAATAACAAACAAAAGGAATGAAAGGCTTTTTATAAAATTTTTTATTAGTACACGTTTGTAGTATGTAATGTTGGCATTGCTTGTGGAGTTAGTATATCCGCCCAACACACCTTAATTCTAAAAGGCATTCCACTGTACAGAGATGGCTAATGTTCGTCTTTTGTGAGTCAGTGAGCCTTTTAGTGATTTGGCCAAAATGAACGCAGGCAGAGCAAGGTGAAGACAGTGTCTCCAGGCCTAAGCGCTGGTGCGCACGAAGGCTAGGCTTCATCCCAGGCCTGTGTAGGTGAAGCTACATGTTCCCTTTGGAGGTTAGGGGTGGGGAGGGGCAACAGAGTGAGGAGAGCTGTTGTGTTGCCTCCTAGACCCCCAGGTTCGTCACATCCCCCCATGCTGCTGAAGCACTCGCAGACCTTGACCCACCTTCCCGTGGAAGGATGATAGCAATCTCATCTTCTCATAACTTACCGTCCAGCTGAGTTTTTTAAAAAAATCATAACTTTCTTTAAAAAACCCTTGGCTCCTCCCCCTGTGGGGAAGTCCACTCTGGCTTCTGTGTCCTGGATCCCCACCACAGCCTGCCCTGCTGTTTCCCATGGGCTGGGACATTCTGGTTTCTCCCTGCACTGTCCGGCCACACCCTCCATCTCAGGCTGTCTGTCCCTTTTAACAGCACTGCCCTGGGGAGGATGACCTCTGGCGGGCTGCATAGTGGGCGTGGGGGAGGCCGGGAAACCCCAGTGCTGCCCAGTCACTGAATTGATTTGGGTGTTCAAGGAGCCATGTGGCTTAAAAAGCCCTCACTGGGGAGAGTGTCCCACGGTGGGGAAGGGACTTGCCCAGGGGGAAGGGACCAGTGAGCGTGCACACATCCCAAAGGATGCAAGAAAAAGGAGGTGGAGGAGAAACAGAGGATGCCTTTCTAAAAATACAGCCCATCTGCTTCGTGTGAGCTAATCTCGGAAACCACCGTGGGAACAGACCTCAGGCTTGGGCGGTAGTGCAGGGCCAGCCCTGCTATGCCGAGGATCGGTTTCTTCAGTGGCTTCGCAGGTCTTCTCTGGGCTTCTGGGGCCTGAGTGGTCCGTGCTCCCAGCTGGCCTGGACACCCAAACCCCAACTAGGATCCTGGGGGACTCCCTCAGGCCACTCTTCCTGCTTCTTATGACACAGGGTGGGGAAGGCCCAGAGCTGCCAGCTGGTCTCATGCCACGGTGATTGCTTTCATCCGAGACCCTGTGCCCTGGGCTGTGTATAGGGAGAAACCAGTGTTGGGTGGGTGGGGGTGGGGGTCTCCGAACCAAGCAGCTGGTGTAATTGTGAGTTTTCTGGGAAGGAGACAAAGTCTGCGCCTTCACCCTTGAAAGAAATCTAGAAATAAAGTTGGAAAAGAAGAAAGGGAAGGAGGGAGGAATGAGTGGAAGAATTGAGTTAATTCATCCTTTCACCCGCTGCTCAGATGGCTGCGGTGGTTTGGGATGAGCATGAGCACTAGACTAGGAGTCCAGCTCTGGCCCTTTGAGGACAAGTAATTGGACCTCTTCTAGCCCTGGTTTTTCATCTTATCAGAATGAAATAAAATAGCACAAGCAAACATGAGCTGAGATACTTTGTAAGAATAAGAACTTGTGGGTCAGGGATTTAGCTCAGTGGCACTGCACCTGCCTTGCAGGTGCAAGATCCTGAGTTTGATTCCCGGTACCAAAAAAAAAAAA